CTGAAGTGGAGGACCTACTGTGCTGTTGTTGTTAGGTACCATTGAGTTGGCCCCTGATTCACCGCAACCCCATGCACAATAGAACAGAATGCTGTCTGGCCCTTTGCCATTCCTGTAATTGGTGGGGATCTGACAGTTGTGATCCATAGGGTTTTCATTGACTGATTTTCAGGTGTAGATTGTCAGGCCTTTCTTCCTAGTCTGGAAGTTCCTCTGAAAACTGTTTAACATCACAGCTACCCAAGCCTCCACTGACAGACCACTAGTGACTGCACTTGAGATGTATTGGTTGGAAATTGAACTTGGGTCTCCCTCATGGAAGGTGAGAGTCCTACCATTGAATCCAGTGTCTCCAGATTTTGGCCTTTATGAAATCTGGAGCAGAGAAACAAATGCAGCCAACCTAGACTTCTTACCTGAGATAATAAATAGATGTTGTTTTAAGCTTCTGTGTTTAAAACTTAAACTTAGGTGTTCTCTTTGAGTATCCAGGGATAGTCAGATCTTTTTATTTAACATTAGTGTTTCTGTCTCATGAGAAAATTCTATAGCTCTATCTCATAGAGGTCTGCTTTGTGTCCAACACACAGCTTAACATTTGGATGAATTTTATTCTCCTTGGTTGAATCAGAAGTTCCTCATGAGCTGCTGTTTTGACACTGAAGCCACATCTTTAGTCACTGTGGGCTCCAAAAGCATTTACTGATTACAACCTCCTTTGCAAGTACTTTTTCCATTTTAAAATTGAATGATTCTAGACCTTTAGAAAATGAGAAATAATGAGAACCAGAATATTAAACACATTTTTTTGCATTGTAAATTGCTGCACTTACCATATTTTTTGCATATAATGTGCAGCACGCACAGCCACATAAATAATGTACACATATATTATAGACACATAGTGTACATAAGAAACAAACACAAGATGGGGTTGTGTGGTTTGCAAAAATCCCTATAACACATTACTTGTATAAAAATATGATGTGTGTTTCTGTGTGTGTGTGTGTTTGTTACTTTACTTACTAACACTGGAAAAATTGAACCTGTTATTGGAGTGGTAAATAACGAAGATTGTATATACATGACTAGAGTTTAGTACTGTAATAAAGTCTTACATTGAAATGAATATGATATAGATTTAGTATGAATAATTGGTATTATATCTAATTAGGAATAAAAGGCAAGGAAACTGTATAAAATATTGTAATTACTAATAATTATGTAGCAGAGTGAGACTTTCTACCCTCACCTGAGGAAAGGGGAAAGGGAACTGGCAAAAATATTCTCTTGGACTCTTCAAGTAACCCCTTGATTCCTGACTCAGGGTGCCAGGTAACCAACCTTTCAGAGACTGACCCCTCAGGAGTGCCAGGGGAGGTATGACTGCTTTCACAGGGCAAATACAGAGTGCTAGGAATGAGGTGACTCGAGGTGGGCTATGGAAACAGATTAGGTTGGCCCTTGGAGTCCCCAACATTTGGTCAAGACAGTAGAGGAAGAGAGGTTCCAGTTTTGACCTCCCTGTCCTTCCATGGGCCCTCTCAGTGTCCTTGACTGTGTTTCTGTGGGAACTCTGGGTGCCCCTTTTTCTGCTTCACTGGCTTCTCCCCTATTCTTCCCCAGATGGAGAAAGGAGGCCAAAGGCTTGCCTTTTTTTTGTTTTGTTTTGTTTTGTTTTTCTTTTTCTGTCTCTCAGGGATTTTATTTCACAAAGGTGAGATTTAAAGGAAGGCTCCTCCCCAAGGCCAAAAATCTCCCATTACTGCTTGAAATTCTATTCATTTAAAGATTAATTTGAATGAATAAGCAATACCCATAGTGACCCTATATGACAAAGTATAACTGCCCTCCCTTGGGTTTCCAAGGCTTTAATCTTTACAAAAGCAGACTGCTATACCTTTTTCCCTTGGAGCAGGTGGTAGGTTTGAACCACCAACCTTTTGATTAGCAACCTTGCACTTACCTATGCCACTAGGGCTCCTTAAGCAATACTTTAGATTGAATAAAGGCGGTTAAGATGATTGACCTTCATACCTTATTAATGATTGTAGCTAGCATGTATTGCAACTTACTATGAGCTAGTACCATCCTGAAGACTTTATATGAATTAACATACTAAATCTTTACAGCAACAGTATAAGAAAGGTTCAGTGGTGTTCAGTATCTCACCCCAAATTACTTAGTGATGATGGAGGGAGGGCCAGGACTGAGTCCAGATGGGCCTGCTCTATATCACAGCCCCTCAGTCACTGCACTGAGCTACCTCTCCAGCATCATTAACGAGGATTTGATTTAATATGATTGCTTTCTTCTAACATGTAGCAGAAATACCTGCTAGGATATTGGACTGGAAGTGTGGAGGTGTGAGGGTAATGAGGATGAGGGCATTTCAGGGAGAGATGCCCGTGTGGGGAGGTTGTGATGGAGGTTTGAAGAGTGACTTGGAGTACATTTTTTTAAATTGTGATTTGGGTGAAAATTTACAGAACAAATTAACTTTCCATACAGCAGTTCACATACACTTTGCCTCATGACATGGACCACAATTCACCACAATGCAACCGCTCCCCTCTCACTTCCTTCCAACAGTCACCTCTTCCCTGTCTCCATCGCCCCATGCACCCTTGCCCCCTGAGCTGTCTCCCTGTGCATAAATATCCATTTTTTCTCCCATGATTGTTCTCTCCCAAGGAGTGTATCTACCTCAGTAAATGTTCAACTCCTATACCTGTCTTTTGTTTGGCTGGAAGCCACAGGTGTGGGGTTCAGTTCCAGACCTGAAGGGTAGCTAGGGGCCTTAGTCTCTGTGGTTCCAACAGGCTCTAGCAGACCAGCAGACCAGGTCCCCCCCCCCTTTTTCTTTTCCAAATGATTTTGAGTTTTGTTCCACATTTTTCTCCCTCTCTATCCAGGATCTCCTACATAGATCCCCCTCCGAGTGGTTGACAGTGATAGCTAGGCACCATCTAGTTCTGATCTCATAGTCACAGAGGCTGCAGATTGCATGGTGTACCCGTTGCTTAGACTAATTCTTTCCATGAATCTTTGGTTTTCTTCTTCTTTGCTCTGGACGAGGAGAGACCCATCGTTGCATCTAGATGGCTGCTTGCAAGCTTTTAAGATCCCAGTCTCTACTCACCAAAGTAGGAGGTGGAACAATGTTCTGTGTAGTATGTTATGCCAGTTGAGCTTGATGTCCCCTGTGACTATGGTCCCGAACCCACAGGTTCAACTTCTTGGTTCCTCTGGGTAGCTGGCTATGACCAAGAAGTGACTACAACCTTGTCCTTTGTCAGCTCTACTATACACCTGGGAATTCTGATCATTCACATAAACTTATTGGGCCATTGTCTGCCAACCCTATACATGGTCTTTGGTACACTCCCTGCTAAATAGACATACCTAATAGTTTAGCCTGTCCACCCATCTATCCACCCATATATTCATGTTTGCCTTCACTGACAACGCGGAACTCTATGTGCAAAAGGGTTCATCCTTGTTGTCTGTACCTCCCATGTACCTCTCTATGTCTTCCTCTTCTTCAGTGCCACAATGTGGATCACTCACATTTGGTACATTGCCCTTCTCTTCACCCAAATCAATACTTATCTCTACCTATGTAACAGTGTTCCCTCCCCTCCCCTCCCATCTCTGATAACCAACAAAGAAAATTTCCTTCCATAGATAAACCTTTCCTTGACTTCTACAATGACGGACTAATACAATATTTTTCCTTTTTTGATTGACTTACTCACTCAGCATAGTGTCCTCCAAGTTCATCCTCGTTATGCGGTGTTTTGCAGATTCTAGGTTATTCTTTAGGGTTGCATAGTATTCCATTGTGTGAATGTACCAAAGTTTGGTTATCCATTCCTTAGTTGATGGACACCTAGGTTGTTTCCATCTTTTGGCTATTGTAAATAGTGCTGCGATGAACATGGGTGTGCATATGTCTGTTCTTGTCATGGCTCTCACTTCTTTAGGATATATACCTAGTAATGGAATAGCTGGATCAAATGGTATTTCTAATTCCAACTTTTGAAGGAATCGCCAAACTGCTTTCCACAGTCCTTGTACCATTTTACAGTCCCACCAGCAGTGTATGAGATTCCTAATCTCTCCACATCCTCACCAGCATTTGTTATTTTGTGTCTTGTTGAACTTTGCTACTACTAGTGCTAGAGCAAGATGGTATCTCATTGTTGTTTTATTTGCATCTCTTTAATGGCTAATAATTGTGAGCATTTCTTCATATGTTTGTTGGCCACCTGAATATCCTCCTCGGTGAAGTGTCTATTCATGTCTTCTGCCCATTTTTAATTGAGTTATCTGTCTTTTTGTTATTGAGGTGTTGGAGTTTTCTATAAATTCTAGAGATAAGTCCCTTGTCAGATAGGTTATTACAAAATGTTTTTTCCCAATCTGTAGATTCTCTTTTGACTCTTTTGGAGAAGTCTTTGGAAGCACATAAAAGTTTAATTTTTAGAAAGTCCCATTCATCTAGTTTCTCTTCTGCTTTTTTGCATTTTGAGTTATGCTTGATTGTCCATTTATGCCATATATTAGGGCCCCTAAATCTGCCCCTGGTTTTTCTTTGAGGAACTCTATAGTTTTAGGTTTCACATTTAAGTCTTTGATCCATCTGGAGGTAGTTTTTGTGTATGGTGTGAGGTACAGATCTTGGAGGGCATTCTTTGCAATCATCATTTTCCTACCAAAAGTAGTAAGAATCTCACTCATAAGCATCTTGATATTTCTGAGCTTAAAATTGGTTCAGTAGTTCAACCAAGAACCCAGAAAGTACTGTTTCTCTTCTCTCTGCACATTGACATCATTTTTCTTTTAATGTTTTAGCACATAAAGCTCTTATGTATGTTTCTTAGTATATATGATTTAAGTACTTAAATGGATTGAAAATAACACTTTGCAAATTATTTTGAAGTAAAGGGCAAAGAAAAGCAACCATTTCTATAATTATCTTCTTCTTCCTCACACAGTACTGGCTGGATCCTGCAAAAACCCTTGCTGAACACAAAGAACTGATAAACAGTATGTATTTAATTTTAACTTTGTAAAGGGATGGTTTGAAAATTCATATCCATGATTAGTTGGGGTCCACAATTATAGGGGCAAAGAACAAGGAAATGAATGTTGTGTGTATTGCCAGTCTGTCTTCAAATTCTGATTAAATTTTGGTTGATTAATACGAAGATCCACTCAGAGTTTTTAATTTGGCCTAGAGGTATGCCCTCTCTTGATTCTGTGACTTTTCCTGTTTGTTTGACTTTAAAATCTGATTTTAAAACAGAAAAGGCAGAGAAGCACTGATTTGGGTGGAGGTGGGGGAGACAGGTAACCATGTTTTTAAAGAGCTTAAAATTTTCAGGTTAATGAGTGGTTTTGTCATTCACATCACTAATTTTGCTGAGTCAGTAATTAAAGGGGTACCCTTGTGACCTGGAAGAATTACTGTGGCTTTAGAGAAGGCCCATCCAATTTCAGGGGTGATGCTTGGTCTTATCAATATGAATATTACTATGTGACTCAGAGTATAATTAAGGTTATGTTCCATAATGTTTTATTTTTGAAACACACATTTTTATTTATGAACACACACACACACATAGAGTCCCCTTAAGGGTATAAAAAAAAATTGTTTGGTTTTAATGTGTTAATTATTGTTAATCAAATCTGAGTGGAGCTCTTCTGAACCTGTACTTTCCATGTATTTGGGCTGTTTCCCTATGGTTGTGTGCTGTTTCATAGGCCCCAAGGGCAGGAATGTAGTAGCTGTGTCTCAGAAAGGAGATGGAAACCAGGAACTGCAAAACCAGCAAGTACTGTTCTCTGAACATACTGGCATTTTTCTTTCTGTGGATTGACTTTCTCTGTTTCTCTATCTATATGGTAGAAAGCACCAGAGTTTACAAGTTCCCACCCCAGCAGTAAACTGAAACTGACTGGCTGTCTCTGAATTGCAGTTCCAAGTTCTAGTGATGGTAGTCTGACCGGCCTAGTTTGGGTTAGTAGCTCATCTCAACGTACTGAGCTGTGTTCAAGGTCAAGTATAAATGTAGCTGTTAGAAGTCCAGGCTTCTGGATGTGGCTAGGGGGCAGGTCTTAGAAATGGGAGTTGGTGGCTTATGGGCTGAGAAGGACCCCTCAAATACCTTCCACATCAAATTTGGCCTACTTCACTTATTGTTGTTGTTAAGTGCCATTGAGTGAGCTCCGATTCATAGCGACCCTATACACAGCAGAACAAAACACTGCCTGGTCCTGTATCAGCCTCACAATCCTTGCTATACCTGAGCCCATTGTTGTAGCCACTGTGTTAATACATCTCATTGAGGGCCTTCCCCTTTTTTGTTGACCCTCCACTTTACCCAGCATGATATCCTTCTCCAGGGAATGGTCCCTTCTGACAGCAAGCCATGGTATTTTCAATAGCCTCAAATGCATGTGAAAGCTGGACAGTCCAAAAAAGAGTTGATGCTTTTGAGTTGTGGTATTGGCAAAGAACACTGGAAGTACCATGAACTGGCAGAAGAACTAACAAATTGGTCCCAGAAGAAGTGCTCCTTGGAAGCAAGAATTGTCAGACTTCGTCTCACCTACTTTCGTCATGTTGTCAGAAGGGACTATATTTGACCTACACATGAGTGAATTATAATTCAGAAGGTTTAGCAACCTGCCACAGATGACATACCCAAATGGTAACAGAGAGTTGAGCAGAGCCCTCATTTTGTGACTCCTGGTACCATGTTCTTTGCAGGTCACCAGGCTATCTGCCAAATGCCAAGAGGAGGCATGAGGTTTTGTGTAATTAGATATGAATGCAACTAATTTCCATGACAAATGCTTATACAAATAGTAGGAGTTCTAATTTTAAAAGCTTTATCATTTTGGACCTGAAATTTGAAAATTTCCAAAAGATCATCATAGAATAGTAAATATCTGTCTTGCCTGCTGGAACCAAATACTTTAAAAAAAAAAAAAAACAGTTGGAGAATTAGAAAAATTTCAGGAATGATTATTTAAAAATAAACTCACAGATTTTTTGAAAGAAAAAAGGTCAAGGTTTCTATTCAGGTAATGAAAAAAAAAAGTAAAATTATTTTACTTAAGGTACATTGACGTATTCTTAAGCATATTTAAAGTGTCTGTTTCAATACATGATATGAAGTGTTCTATTGGATTATTACCTATAATCTAATAGCTTTTTCGTCCTAAAAAGCATACACTGCTAAAAATTTGACATAGAGCAAGAATAAAGCACTAATATTATTATTAAAGAAAAGATTGTAATTGAAGGACACTTATATTTCGTTTCATGTAATAGTTTATTAATTAGTGAAAGAAAATGACTATTGAATCTCCAATAGGTTAGTCAGAAGGAATATCAATAAAAGTAACAAGACATTTGCTTGTCACCAGGATTCTCTTAGGTAAGTCTTGCTTTATTTATCCCTGAGCTAATGGGAGAATCCTTATTTTAATTAAAGGCCTCCCAATTAGCGCCTAAGGCACTTGACTGCTAACCAGAAGTCTGGCGGTTCAAACCTACCAGCCACTCCTCAGAAGCAAGGTTAGGCAATCTACTTCCATAGCGATACCACCTTGGAAACCCAAGGAGGGCTCGCTATGAGTCCAGTCCGACTCGATGGCACATAACAACAACAACAACCAACAAATTAGTCATTACATATGATAGGTTAGGAAAGTCCCAGTTTCTGGTTACTGTATACATTTTTAAGACTAAAGAGAAACAATATTAGTTTTACTTTACATAATGATTTCTTAAAGGTAGAGTCTGTGAATGATATGGATTCAAGATAATGAATATTTAGTAAATTGCTTGGTTAGCACTTGATATTTGTAGTCAGAGTCTTAGCAGGCCAAAAGAGCATCTGGCTAGATATAAACTTACTTTAATATATCCATTTCCATAGCCTTTGATTGCGCTATAAGACAGTGATAGATATGAAGGTATTGCTCATTCTAAAGGTGTTATAATTTTATGTTTCCCCTAAAGGTTCTATGAAACAGTAGCAAAAAACCCTGAACTCTATTAGCAAATTTGGTTCTCATCTCTGTGATATTAGGCAAATTGCTTAACTCTTTGGAGCTTCACCTGCCTTGCATGTTACAAGGTTGTTGTTAGAATTAAATGTTTGTAAAAGCACTGTGTACATTGTCAAATACAGTAAAATGGTGATGATGTTTTATATTTAGAACACAAGCCATTTTATATGTGAGTGGGCTGTGGAGGGTGGATTTGGGCTGGTAGTCCTTAAAGAAAATTAGCCAACATGAAATTTTTTTTTTTTTTTTCAAGCTAACTCATATAAATGCTTAACTGCTTATCATTAAACATATTTGAAATGGCTAGGTTTGGTGAATAAGGTGTAATCTGTCATGTTCCAGTGAATAAAAGCAACTCTGGTGTCAAGAGAAAACCTCTTCCCTTTGTGCACCATCGCTGCAGCATCTGTGATCCTCCCAGCCCCTAGATGCCAGCCCCAGTGGCCTGCGGGCACAGGCAGGCCCATCTGTTCAATAGTATGTAGTTTGATTGACACAGATGGAGCAGCCAATGGTGGACTTCCTGGCTCTTCTAAATGTTTAAAAGTCTTGGGCCTCCTTGACATCAGTCTTTGTGGATAGAGGTATATTTGTCAGAAATACAAATACACTGATTAAGTCAACATAAAAATTGAACCTATGGAATCAACTCAGATGATAAGAAATTACGGCAAAGTTTTTATAAAAAAATTAGTTTTTTAAAAAATCTTTGGCATCAGAGGTGCCTGATATAGGAAAACATAGATGAGAACAGGGTATGGGGCCCTAGTCTTGATTGTCTTCTGTATGCCAGGAACAGGGCTTTTGGGTTCCACAGTGTAGATATGTAATAATAATAACAAAAAATAACATTTTGTATATTATGAATGCATTGTATCTTTTTCATTTGTTGTGTTTAATTTCCTTTTTTTTTTTTAATTTTAAGCTTGTGACTTAATTTACTCAGTTGCAAATGAAAATAGAAAGGCTAGGATTACCTTATGTCAGTTACACAATGTTGGAAGATTTGGGATTACTGGGTGTAGGTGGATTTATTTTCACTGAGGTACATACTTCCAGGTGTGGGAGATCTTTTGTTGGGGGGCGGATATGAAATTAGAAACTGAGAACACCAATTAACAAATCAGTTTTTAAGCAAAACCACTTAGATATAGTTACCACACAACTTTGAAATATGAAGTTTTGGAAACAGCATAGTAAAAGTATAATATGTGGTTGGCATCCAAGGAGTTAGCATCCTTTTGCACAAGGAACACTTGATTACAGTTTTTATTTTTCCATGTAGACACAAGTCCAGGTTTTGTTTCGTTTGTTTTTGGTATTTCTTAGACCTAGATTTCTGCATGGGGTAAATGAATGATATGAGAGAAATGTGTTGTTACATTTTTAAGAACACATACTTAGATTCAGAAAAGTTTAAGAATTAAACAAACATTGTCCCTAATCCTACCACATAGTGCCACTGACAATTATTTTTTTTCTCAAAAAAAAAAAAAAAAAATAGAAGATACCCATAAGAAAATTCTAACATATTAAAGATGGTGAGTTTTCAGTTTCTTTTCCCAAAGTTTGCCACTGTTAGTAGTTTCTTGTATATTCTTCCAGAAAAAATATATAAACAGATTTTTTAAAACAAAAGCAACAATATTTCTGTACTCAAGAATATAGATTTCACAGAGATCTTTCCACATCAACATATATAGATCTCCCTCCCTCTATTTAAACTTTTGAATGCTTATCATATATACATTTCACGATTGACTTAGTCTCCCAACTTTTGAGCATTTAAGTCATTTTCAACTTTTTGTGGGTATTTTTGAATGTTATAATGTGATAGACGGATGATTTTTAAAACCATATATTTGACTTTATTGGTAACCTTTCTACGTATGTTATAGAAAATGTGAAAAATACAGAAAAAATAAATAAAAATTGTGTATAACCTCACCAACCAGAGATAAAAATTAGAACATTCTGGTATATTTGGTCCTGTCTTTTGTCTGGATTTTTATGTACATGCATGCATATTTGAGGTCACACTGTTACACTCTGCTTTTTTCATTGTATGTTTTCCTGATTCTTTAGAAGTTCTTGGAGAGTATAATTTTGAATGGTTGTGTTACACTGTACTGCTACTTTGATTAATTTATAATGTGAAATTTAATTAATCCATATTTCTTAATTTTAGCTGGACCTCCATATACTTTGTATTTTGGTATTAAATTTTATGCAGAAGATCCATGTAAACTTAAAGAAGAAATAACCAGGTATGGTATTGACATTGCTTTTGAACTGTTACATGTGTGGCATATACAAAAGACTTTATTTAAAACAAAATTGGCTTCTAACATTTAGATATGTGTCTACCTGCCTGTTCTCCCATGAGAGTTAAATTAAAACTTGTGACATTAAGGCAGATCAGTGTTTGATGATAGATGTGTTTGAAAACTGGCACGAAGTTGGGTGACATGATGATAGATTTTGCATCTGCTGAGATGTGATATTTCTGCATCATTATTATTAAGGATGCATTCAACCATTTATAGTCACATAAAAGTTGTCATTTGAACTGTGTTTAGGAAGAGTATGTTGATACTGTGTTTGCATATGCAAATATAAATTTGGAAAACCAGTCATTTCTCTTTAATTAAATATTAAGCATCCAAGTGTTTCATTTATCTCCTTAGGAAACCAAAAGATAATTCTTTTAGTATTAGGAAGAGGAAAAAAGACCAATGTTTTATAATATAATGCTTCACCTCTATAACCAAATATTTTATTAAGGTGGGACTGTCCATTGGTAATGGTTATATTGTCAAGATTATCCTTGGTAATATTTGAGAGTAGCTTATAAAAAGCAGATGATAACATATGTGTAAGAAAAAATACATTCATATCTGTAACTCATTAGAGAATTTCTAGGAGCAAAATTATATTAGAATTCAAGTGAAATCCTTATTTGACATTGTCAGAAGCCTCTCTGTGTCTCAATTTCTTCAACTGTAAAATTAGAGATACACCTGTCTCATGTTTGTGTAAGCATTAAATGGAATGATGTATATAAATCTCTCATAGTTTTGTTTTGTTCATAAGTGAGTGCTTGATAAATGTTGTTACTTGCCATAGAATTGGCTTTGACTCCTGATGATATTATGTATGTCAGAAGGAAACGTTTCCAGGTCTTGCAGTATCTTCATGATCAGTGTTATGTTTGTATCCATTCTTGTGGCTGTTGTGTCAATCCATCTTATTGAGGGTTTCTTTTGCTTCTGTTGGTACTCACCACTTTACTGACTATGTTTATTTCATTCATTCTTTACCCTGATAATGCAGTGGAGACACATCTTAGATGAAGCTTAGTTTCTAAACAGTACTTGATAAAGAAGTGGGAAAAGACCAGTTTTATGATGCACTACTTCACTTCTGTTCACCAAATATTAATGGTGACAGAAATTATTGTTCATAATCCATTAATGGTTCCTTAACACAATACATGTGGTGTGGGGGTGTTTGGGAGCAGCCTTTAAGGGAGGCCCAGAAGGTGGTGAGCCGGGCACGGGGGTGTTTGGGAGTAGCCTTTAAAGGAGGCCCAGAAGGAGAGCTGGGTGCAAGGTTTGGACCACCTTTAAGAGAGGCTAGGAAGTGAGCAGAGTGGTTTGGAACAGCTAAAGGAGATGAACTTGTCTGTCAGTTTGTCATTCTTTGGTGGCTTGCACGTTGCTATGAGTCTGGAGGCTATGCCACCAGTGTTGCAAATGCCAGTAGGGTTACCAATGGTGGACAGGTTTCAATGAAGCTTCCAGACTAAGACAGACTCAGAAGAAGGAAGAGGCCATCCACTTCTTAAAGAATTGTTCAATTCTTATGAATATCAGTGAAATACTGTCTGATCTATTATTAGGACATTTTATGAAAAACCCTGAGACATTGTCCAATATAATGATAGGAGATGAGCCCCTCAGGTTGGAAGGCACTCAAAATAGAACTAGGGAAGAGCTGCCTTCTCAGAGTAGAGCCAACCTTAATGATATGGATGGAGTACAGTTTTCTGGACCTACAATTGCTCATGAGGCACAACTCAAAATGAGAAGAAACAGCTGCAAACATCCATTAATAATCAGAACATGGAATGTATGAAGTATGACTCTAGGAAAATTGGAAGTTGACAGAAATGAAATGGAATACATAAAGATCAATATTCTAGGCATTAGTGAGCTGAAATGGACTGGTTTGGTCCATTCTGAATCAGAAAACCACATGATCTACTATGCCAAGAATGACAATTTGAAGAGGAATGCCGTGACATTCATCATCACAAAGAAAGTTTCAAGATCTGTCCTGAAGTAAAATGCTGTCAGTGATAGGATAATATCCATACACCTACAAGGAAGACCGGTTACTACTACTATTATTCAAATTTATGCACCAACCACCAAAGCCAAAGATGATAAAATTGAAGATTTTTACCAACTTCAATCTAAAATTGGCTGAACATGAAATCAAGATGTGTTGATTATCACTAGTGATTGGAATGGAAAAGTTGGAAACAAAAAAGAATCACTGGTAGTTGGAAATATGGCCTTGGTGATAGAAATAACACTAGAGACCACTTCAGAGAATTTTGCAAGACCAACAACTTAATTCATTGCAACCTTTTTTCAACAACACAAATAGTGGCTATATACATGGACTTCACCAGATGGAGTACACAGGAATAGGATCGACTACCTCTGTGGCAAGAGACAATGGAGAACTCAATATTGTCAGCCAAAACAAGGCCAAGAGCACATTGTGGAACAGACCATCAACTGCTCATATGCAAGTTGAAGTTGAAGATGAAGACAATTAAAACATGTCAAAGAGCCAAAATACGACCTTGATTATAACCCTCCTGAATTTAGAGACTATCTAAATAATAGATTTGATACATTGAACACCGATAACTGAAACCAGAGGAATTGTGGTTGACATCAAGAACATCATCCGTGAAGAAAGCAAAAGGTCATTAACATGACAAGAAAGGAAGAAGAGACCAAAATGGATATCAGAAGAGACTCTGAAACTTGCCCTTGAGCGAAGAGTAGCTAAAGCAAATGGAAGAAATGACAAGGTAAAAGAGCTGAACAGAAGATTTCAAAGAGCAGCTTGAGAAGACAAAGCCAATTATTATAATGAAATGTGCAAAGACTTGGAGTTAGAAAACCAAGAGGGAAGAACATGCTCAGTATTTTTCAAGCTCAAATAACTGAAGATAAATTTTAAGGCTTGAGTTGCAGTATGAAAGATTCTATGGGCAAAATATTGAATGGTACAGGAAACTACAAAAGAAGATGGGAGGAATACACAGGGCCACTGTACCACAAATAATTGGTCAGTGTTCATCCATTTCAGAAGGTGGCATATGATCAAGAACTAATTGTATTGAAGGAAGAAATTGAGGCTGCACTGAAGGAATTGGTGACAAACAGGGCTCCAGGAATTGATGGAATACCCATTGAGATGTTTCAACAAACAGATGCCGCACTAGAGGCACTCACACGGTTATGCCAAGAGATTTGGAAGACAGCTACCTGGCCAGCTGACTGGAAGAGATACATATTTGTACCCATTCCAAAGAGGTGATCCTACAGAATGTGGAAATTATTGAACAAAGCACTAATATCACAGGCAAGTAAATTCTTGCTAAAGATAATTCAAAAATGGTTGCAGCAGTATATTGACAGAGAACTTCCAGAGGTGCAAGCTAGATTCAGAAGAGGACATGGAATGAGGAATATCATAGCTGATGTCAGATGGATCTTGGCTGAAAGCAAAGAATACCAGAAACATGTTTACTTAGGTTTTATTTACTATGCAAAATAATTCGATTGGTCATAACAGATTATGGATAATGTTGAGAAGAAAGAGAATTCTATAATACTTAATTGTACTCATGAGGAACCTGTATATAGACCAGGAGGATGTTGTTAGAACAGAACAAGGGGATACTGCGTGGTTTAAAATCAGGAAGGGAGTGTGTGAGGTTTGTATCCTTTCCCCATACTTATTCAGTCTGTGTGCTGAGCAAATAATCTGGGAAGCTGGATTATATGAAGGAAAATGTGGCATTAGGATTGGAGGAAGACTCATTAACAACCTGTGATGTGCAGATGACACAACTTTGCTTGCTGAAAGTGAGGATGACTTAAAGCACTTACTGATGAAGATTGAAGACTCAGTCTGCAGTACAGATTACCACTCAATATAAAGAAAACAAAAATCCTCACATTTTTAATAAATAAACAGCATCATGATAAATGGAGAAAAGATTAAAGTTGTCAAAGACTTCATATTACTTGGTTCTATGATCAACACCAATGGAAGCAGTGGTCAAGACATCAGACAACTTAGTGCATTGGGCAAATCTGCTGCAAAAATCCTCTGAAGTGCTGAAGAGCAAAGATGTCTCCTTGAAGACTAAGGTATGCCTGACACAAGCCATGGTATTTTTAATTGCCTCTTATGCATGTGAGACCTGGACAATGAATAAGGAAGACTGAAGAAGAGTTGATGCTTTTGAGTTGTGGTGTTGGTGAAGGATACTGTGTGTACCAGGGACTGCTAAACAAACTAACAAATTTGTCCTGGAAGAAATGCAGCTAAAATGCTCCTTGTAAGTAAGAATGACCAAAGTTTGTCTCACCTACTTTGGTCATGTTGTCAGGAGGAACAATTCCCTGGAGAATACTTGGTAAGTGGAGGGTCAACCAAAAAGGGGAAGGCCCTCAGCAAGATGGATTGACACAGTGGCTGTAATGATGGGCTCAGGTACAGCAGGGATCATGAGGCTGGCACACGACCAGGCCAGTTTCGTTCTGTTGTGCGTAGGGTTGCTATGGGTCAGAGATGACTCGATGGCACCTAACAAAAACAACAGAATGCATGGATTTGTATATAACATTCAACCTTTTGATATATTTATTCCAAACAGGTTTTCCTTAAGTATTAGACCAGATCAGGTAGGTAAGAACCAAATAGCACAATTGGCTTGCAGTTAGGGGCTATGATCTTTTTTTTTTTTTTTTAATTTTTAATTTTATTTTTTGCCTAGAACAAATGGGTGAATTTAGGTAAGTTAGGTGTACATTTAATATGATATCACTATACATTTACTTTTGCATGTGGTGAGGATAAAATTGGGAGCTGTGGTGGCATAGTGCCTAAGGCATTTGACTGCTAACCAGAAGGCTGATGGTTCAAACCCACCAGCCACTCCTAGGAAGGAAGT